GAAGTGCTTCACTGAGCAAGATTTGCAAGGTTTATCTCCCACTCTCTGGTCTAGCTGTGTCGGACCAGCATAGCCACTCTGCTTACCACTTTCTGGCCTCCCACGCATGATTAGATGACGACGTCTGTGTTGTCAGGCTCTGAGACTTTCTATGCAACATGAAGATAGTCCAGGTCCCACTCAGCTGTACGGTGCCCTAGCCGTGGGGCCACAGCAGTGACTGTGAGATCCCATCTGTTCCGAGTGACGACAAACCGTCCAGTAAGGGTTGAAAAGAACGCTTTTTCCTATCGAGAACCTCGTACCAGGTGCCAGAGGCTGTGCTGAACCGTGGTGGCAATGCTATGTCTGGATGGCAGCTGGCGCTGGGGTTGGCTCTTGGGTGGCTTTAGGGCAGTCCACCCCCAGCAGATCCTATTGACTTTTTCTGAGGACAGATTGGTGAACTGATGCCCCTTCCTTTGAGTCCGTGAGGGGGCTCCAATCTCTGCCAGTCGTCCTGTGAAGAGTGTTGCTTCTGACTTTCCCGTCAGTGGCAGAGGAGGGCAATTTTAACAGAAAGAGCATCATGCAAAGAATTGCTCAGTAGTTAACTGAAAACAGGAAAGGCCAAGAGAGGACACTATGCTATCTTAGAGATGAAAACTGCAGGTAGCAGCTGCTCCTCTTGGGCCTAGGCAGGGGAACAGGGAAGAAGTTAGGATACCCGCCCAGCAGGTGCATGAAACAGGAGCTGAAAGTTGGACCTCAGAAAGGGGCCACTGTCAGCTCATGCCTATGACTGAGCTGGGATGAGGGGCACCCTGGGGCTGGGCACCCCAGGGTGAGGAGGCCTTGGCCAGCTGGTGCTGGTGTCTCTGTATGCTGCAGTGAGCAGGTCTGGAAGTGTTGGAAAACTGCAAACTGGACGCACGCTGTGACTGTAACACAGTGCCAGTGCCAAGGTGAGAAGCAGGACTGGGTGACGCTGATAGGAACGGGCAGCGAGCAGAAGCAGGAAGCCCACGTCTCTGTTGCGGAGTTGGTTATCCAGCCAGCTGGCAGGGCAGCAGTGTGCTTTGCAGAGCTCCAGCCTCAGCATCACTGAACAGCACGTAGGAGGGTGTGGGTGTGGCAGGTGGGAGAGGAGAGGAAGGTGAGAGAAGTGGGGTGGGGGGATGGGATGAAGCCGAGAGACAATAACTTATAAACAACCACAGGGCCCTTCTTTTAGGGCACAGGCAACCAATGTGAGAATCTACAAGCACACAGTCATCCAGGTTAAGCACCCAAGGACTAGGGAAGTGCCCACAGGGCTGATCCTGCAAACACTGAATCTACAGTAAGACACACTCCATCAGCACCTGGTCTCTAGCAGCGACTCTACAAGAGGGAGGCCCCAGGGGTGTTCTGGGCCCTTTGCTCCCATCATCTGCTCAGGTCCTGTCTCCAGCAGCCCGTGAGAACTCAGGCGGCTATCTTTCTTTCCTGGCGTGTGCTTGCTCAGGGAAACAGCTCTGTTGCTGTGGGAAAGAGCAGTGGAGTCGCTACTGCTTGGCAGTGTAGAGTTCTCCACAAGGGCACTCCTTCAAGTGACTGGATGTAGATCTGAGACTTGGCTTATGTCTGGAAACTGCGGGAGCCATCGTGACTCCGCTGGAGTGGCTGATACCAACTTTCTGCTCATCTGCCTTTAATCTCTTGTGATCCTAGGCTGCAGCCATGAGCTTGTTGGTTGACTGTCTGGCTTGTTCTTGTTTGTGGCAGCCCTGGCTTCCACTATCACCTTGCAGACCGTGGTGGCATGGGCCAGCCTTGCCTCTTGTCAGTCAAGTGCTTTTGTTCTTCTGGAATCTTATTCTTAATGAGCCAGGGCAGCACCATGGTGGCTGCCCTCTGCTGGCAACACAAGATGCCAGAAATAGTGCTAAGGCCACTAGAGCCCTTCGACCTGTATGCTATTGCAATCCACAGTGGGAAAGAGCCACTCTGCTCAGGGGCACTTGGATTCAAGTCTCGTCTGCCAGTCACTCGCATGTGACCCTGGGTGAGTTACTCCAGGTCTCTGTGTCTCAGTGCGTTTCCCTTTAAATGAGAACACTACCACTCCTACCACTCCTACCTGCCTCAAAGGGCTGTTGCGTGGGTTCTGTGGGTTCATCCCTAAGTTCTTCAATCAGCAGAGCCTCACGGTTTGCAAACCCTTTAAGAATGTTAGCTAGAAATACTAGCAAGAAAGCTAACCATTAAGGTTTTACATCATTCTAGAAATGATTAAAAAAAGCAATTAGACATGAGAAAAATGAATGAGGCCAAACATTGGGAGAGACAACTGACCACCTGGAAAAATTCAGGAACTTGGACATGAGCTGAACACACCACTAGTCCTAGTTTTTTATCTGTAAGAACCTTCTCTCCAAACTCCAAGAGGAGCCCTGGGATTAGGCAATAGCTGCCTTGCTCTGACTTTGCAAAGAAGTAGATATTTTTTCTGTCACCCTGTGCTGAGTTTGGGGGTTCCATAGCTGCACCTTCAGCAAGTGTGGGAGGGAACTTGCTTTGCACCAAGGGAAATCCCAAAACTTTTTTTTTCTTTTATAAAAGATGTTTCGACTTATTTCTTTTATAAAAGATGTATTGACTTATTTGAAAAGCAGAGTTACAAAGCCGGCGCCGTGGCTCAATAGGCTAATCCTCCACCTTGCGGCGCCGGCACACCGGGTTCTAGTCCCGGTCGGGGCGCCGGATTCTGTCCCGGTTGCCCCTCTTCCAGGCCAGCTCTCTGCTATGGCCAGGGAGTGCAGTGGAGGATGGCCCAGGTGCTTGGGCCCTGCACCCCATGGGAGACCAGGAAAAGCACCTGGATCCTGGCTCCTGCCAGGATCAGCGCGGTGCGCCGGCTGCAGCGGCGGCCATTGGAGGGTGAACCAGCGGCAAAAAGGAAGACCTTTCTCTCTCTGTCTCTCTCTCTCACTGTCCACTCTGCCTGTCAAAACAATAAAAAAAGCAGAGTTACAGACAGAGAGGGAGAGAAAGATCTTCCACCTGCTGGTTCACTTCCCCACACTGCCACAATGGGCCAGGCCCAAGCCAGGAGCTTCAACAGGGTCTCCAACGTGTGTGCAAGAACTCAAGGACTTGGGCCATCTTCTCCATCCAGCAGGGAGCTGGATCGCAGGTGGAGCAGCCAGGACTAGAACCAGCGCCCTTAAGGGAACAACAGTGTCGCAGACTTAACAATGCTGGCCCCGAAATAACAAAACTTTAAAAGCACCAGCCCAAATGGAACCTGTATTTCTGACTATTATGTCTCACTACTAGAGGAACATCAATTCTCCAAAAAGTAACTTAAAAATCCATTACACAGTTACAATCAAAATCCAATCGTTGTTCTTTAATTTAAACATGGTTCTCTGGCTGTCATGGTTCTCTGGGAGGGTAAACAGTGAGCACAGTGGTAACAGTTGAGAAAATAAGAGTAACAAGGTGTCTGTCACCACCACGTGTTGAGCACATTCATCAAGTCAGCAGAGCTCAAATATTTGTACTGGTGGGAAAATAGACAAAAAGAAAATACATTGTAGAGAAGCCTTACAAGTTCACCAGTAGACTTTGCATATATATTTTATGGTTAGTGTGCCACAAAGGATCCATTTAAACCAGAGGGGAAGAAGCAGACAAGCCGGAAATGACTTTGCAGAGATGGGCTCATCACCAGGGAACCAATTCAGCAGGCTTCTCTACCCCATGACATATCCCAAAGTAAGTACACAGCAGATTAAGAATTAAACAGACATATTGAACCATAAGAAAAGATAAAAAATAAAATTGTATAAATATAATTTGGAGTCAAGAAGGGAAAGACCATGTAAGGTAGAAAAGGAAAGACAGAGGCCGGCGCCGTGGCTCAGTGGGTTAATCCTGGCCTGCGGTGCTGTCATCCCATATGGGCGCTGGTTCGAGTCCCAGCTGCTCCCATATAGGCTCCGGTTCGAGTCCCAGCTTCTCTCTGCTATGGGCCTGGGAAAGCAGTAGAAGATGGCCCAAGTGCTTGGGCCCCTGCGCCCATTTGGGAGACTGGGAAGAAGCTTCTGGCTCCTGGCTTTGGATTGGTGCAGCTCCAGCCGTTGCAGCCAATTGGGGAGTGAACCAATGGAAGGAAGACCTTTCTCTCTGTCTCTCCCTCTCACTGTCTGTAACTCTGCCTCTCAAATAAATAAATAAAATCTTAAAAAAAAAAAAAAAGGAAGGAAGAACAAGAATGGCGGATTTTAATATATAAAAATTAGAAATGTTTGGTGACATAAAACATGAGCAAAATAGAAATCAGTAAATAGGTAAACATTTATAAAACAAGTATTAGGTAAAACATCATTTTTTTTAGAGCAACTCAGCAAAATAAAATTCCGGTTTATTGTTGGACAACATTGTTTCACACATACATCAAACAGGCCAAAAAAAAATAAATAAATAAACAGCAACTTCATAGACAAAAAAAAGGAAAAAAAGAAACCTTTTATCTTTGGCCTTTTTAACCATCTTATACAAACCAACTACTTATAGTACAGCTAAGTACATACACAAAAAAAGTTACTGGAATGCTTGGAATAAGATTGTTTTTTTGTTGTCGTTTTTGCTTTTTTTTACAAGGTTTTTTTTCTCCTTTGAGATTAGAATGAACATGGTCACACCACAAGCAAAGTCAGAAGTAGGACAGAGGACGCTCGAAGGCTGGTCTGGTCATCCAAGATCATTAAAAATGACTGACCCCTAACAATATGTACAAAAATATAAAATGTAAATAAAAAATACAAACAAATTTTCCTTTTTAAAGTACTTTTAAGAAAGAAAGCAGGGCCTGGAGTTTGGTGCTGTCCCTCCGCTCTTGCGAATTCACTGGGTTTGTGGGCGTGAGCGCTGCGTCCGCAGGGGCGCGGGCGGCCTCTACTCGGAGGTGACCACGTTGTGGGAGACGGGAGTGAGGGTGGAAGGTCACGGGGCCTCCGGTTCACGGTTGCCTTCTCCTGTCTTGCTGTCTAGTCATCCTCGTCGGTCTTGTGCTTCTTGGTGTCGACGTCGTCCTCCTCGTCATCCTCAGCTGCCCGCTTGCCTGTAGCTGCCTCGGCCTCCTCATCTTCGTCTCCGTCCTCTTCCTCACCATCGCCCTCTTCCTCCTCGCCATCTTCCTCCTCTTCCTCGTCTACCTCATTGTCCTCCTCCTGCTCCCCGTTCTCCTCATTGGCGTTGCCGTTGGCGGGGGCGTCTCTCCCATTCTCCGCCTCCTCCACCACTTCCTTCTTCTCCTTCAAGTCCTTGGTGGTGATCTCGGAGCTGGTGTCCACGGCCGCGTCGGACATGGTGGGGCACGCCGGGGATCCGAGGCAGCGGACTCGAGAGAAAGCGGGCGTTCGGGGACTCTGGCGACAAAGCTGCCGGAGTCCGCGGAGGCGGCGGCTGCCGCCCGGGAACAATGCAAAGATGGCTTTTCAGAGCAGCCAGTGGGGGAAAACATCATTTTTTAAAAAAAGATTTATTTATTGCGGCCAGCTCTGTGGCATAGTGGGTAAAACGGCTACCTGCAGTGCCGGCATCCCATATGGGCACCAGTTCGAGACCCGGCTGATCCACTTCTGATCCAGCTCTCTGCTGTGGCTTGGGAAAGCAGAGGAAGATGGCCCAAGTCCTTGGACCCCTGCACCCATGTGGGAGACCTGGAAGAAGCTCCTGGATCCTGGCTTTGGATAGGTGCAGCTCCGGCCATTGCAGGCAATTGGGGAGTGAACCATCGGATGGAAGACCTCTCTCTCTCTCTCTCTCTCTCTCTCTCTCTCTCTCTGCCTCTCCTTCTCTCTCTGTGTAACTCTGCCTTTGAATAAATAAATAAATCTATTGTTTCAAAAAAAATTGTATATATGAAATACAAAAGAGTTGTTCTCTTTATACAAATTTTTTAAATGGACAAAAAAAAAAATCCTCCTGCTAGCCTGCAAATGGCAAAGAGCACTTTTGGGACTAAAGAGGCTACTCTTCCCTAAGTGCCCTCTTGACTAAGCCCGTTCCCTCACATCCACTCTTGTCTCCGGGGAATTCACTGTCCTGTGCTGAGCGGCCTCTGGCTAATTTTAACCAGCGACGCACAGATACAGAGGACTTGTTAAGTAAGTTGAGGTACATTCATGTGATAGGATACTATTCAGACACGAAAAGTCAAATAACCATTTTAGAAAATGTTTTATGATGATTTTCTGAGCGACAAAACAATACTTAACGTATCGAGTGTTATCAGTTTTGTAAATAAAACCTCATTTATCTGCAGTTATCCCTTGGTGTCTGCACAGGATTGATTCCAGGATCCCTCAGAGACATTTGTGAGGGGATATTGATTCGTTTTACTCCAGGAACTCATGCGTAAGGTACACAAAGTGATGTGGTTTATTTAACAGGTGAGAAACAGAACATGCATACACACACACACACACACACACAAGAGCATGGGTGGACCCACACGGAGAAATACCGGTCATGAGTGGGCAGTGGGCCAGAAGATTTGCCAGAAAGGAGAAGAGGTGGGGGAGGGGAGACAGAGCGGGTGCCTGGCAGCCCTCCTGCTGTGGTCTGTGGCAGAGAGAGATCCCTCCCAGTTGCTGGTCTCTTCTGTGAGTTCGGGGTAGTGTACCTCCAGGGTGACGCCACCTGGGAATTGTATGGCACCTCTATCTGTTCTACATGGAGCTCAATATCCATATTTTCATGATGTCTTCATGGGTCCTAGATGAAGCAGGTGCATCCTGGGAAAGGGACATTTTGATTGACAAGTAGGAGGATAGTATGGGGCTTATGACTTCCAGCTCAACAATCCTAAATGAACTTCTAGCTTATTTATCCCACATCACAGATACCAAAATCCATGGACAGCACTTCCCTTACACAAATGGCTTAGTATTTGCATACAGCCTGGTCACATTCTCCTGTACCCTGTAAGTAATCTCTATATTACTTATATAATACTTAATACAAGGTAAATAGTCTTGTATTGTGTAGCAAATAATGACAATTGGAAAAAAGGTTGTCCATGTTCAGCACAGACAAAAATATTTTTTCTGAACGTTGGGTGAATCTACAGATAAGAGCGCTCCAGGCCTGGAGGACTGGCTGGCCTCCTGTGTGTGTAAAGGTGTATATATATATATATCCATATGTGTAAAGAAGAGAAGACTAGACGGGACATGGGGAGCTAGGCGGGAAAATTAGGTAGGAGCAGAGGAGCCAGAAGATGTTCCTGACACTTTCTGCTTCTAGCCCCATGTTGTAACTCCACCCCTTTCCTGTCCATCCATTTCACCTGCTTTTCCACGTGCAGTTGTGTCTCAGCTAGGCCCAGGAAGGAGGAGATGCTGTGTGGCCACGTGGGAGTTAGGCCCCATGAGGAGCACCATGCCTCATGCCTGCTGAAGTTCACCCATTTGTATAACCAGTTAGGGTAGCACCCGCTGCTCCATAAAAGTGGCTGCGGCAGTTGGAAGCACCTGTCTGCTTTTTTGGTTCTAGGTCCTTCCCTGGCCTTCTTCCACGCTCTCTCCTCCTAGACAACTCTAACACATTCATGATGGGTAGCTCTGATGGAACAAGGACATAGCCTCAGCCATTTAGGTTCTTGTTACCCCTGACTTCTTTCAAGAGACCAGTTCAGTCTTACATCCTATTGTTCTCCAGCCGCCCCCCCTCCCTGCCCTGCCTTCCTCCCCAGGTTCAGATGCCGGTGAGCCAAACGAAGAAGCTGTATGGGTAAGCTCACCTCCACCTACCGCCCCCGACCCCCACTCCTAGCCCACCTTAAAAGGCCCAGCCTGCTGGGGGCTGAGCCCTCTGCCACCTGTTCGGTCTGTGTGCATGCTGGCAGTTGGTCGACCTTTGCGAGTTTATTTTCTTTGAATAAATTCGGTCTGGCTGTGAGTTTGTATCCTGTCTCCTCTCTGTTCTGTGCCCTTTTTCCTTACAAGTTCTCTGTGGGGGGCTGCCCATACTCTCACGTGACTATATATTCACTCTGTCACATTTAAATAAATCCTGCTCTCACTTGCACACAGTATTGATGCCTCTGTTTTGAATTCCTAATCTGTGGGGGCAAGAACTTGGGATAAAAACAGACACTTATGTGTGTAGCAGAAGGACATACCGTGTTAACAACAGTTACCTTCGGATGTGGGATTCTAGATTTTTTTTTAAATCATACTTTTCGTTTTCCAAACTTCCTTCATTGACAGGGGTCAGCTTCGCGTTTGAAAAAGATCGATCAAGGTGAAGTAGGCATATAGGTTAAAAACAATTAGGTTTGTGAGCTGGAAGACCACGCCTTTGCCACGCGCCTGTGTGACCTCACGCCCCTACATGGCCACACCTGGGTGCCCACCAGCCAATCAGGTTAATTAACCACTCCCCTTCGGAAGTGGGTTCAAAGCCCGGGACACACCATGTCCTTCTCTTCAGCCCTAGCCTCTTGCCAGGAGAGGGCTGGCTGTAGCCTTGTGCCTCCAGGGCGCGTGGCCTTCATGCCACCCGCCCTAGGCTTCCTGGCCTAGATGCTCCTCCACGTGGCTGGTTCCTGGTGCTCGGTATGAACCCAGATTTACCTCTCTCTCTCTTAGATAAAGCTCTCACTCTTCTATGCATCTTTCTCACTAAATAAAGGCTTAAAATGTACCATGCTGCCTCATTTATCTGTGCCGGTATTTAGAATTCTCTAAATATTAGGCAAGAACCCTCTCGGGCTTATTAATATTGGGGATTTAGGGTTTATTACTAAATAATAAATTGTATGTCACCCCAAATTCTGGTAGCATATGTGGCACCCTAGATAGCACTTCTGGGGAACCTTAAGGGGCCACATTTTTGTGTAAATTTTAGGGGGTCATCTCCGATTTCAAAGGGGGAAATGAAAGACGTGGAACGGCTGGCTGGCCTCCACTCTCAGCTTCAGGGTTTCAGCATTTGGAGAAGCAGAGAGCAAGCATGGAGGGCAGTTGATACTGTGGCAACACCTTGTACTCTAACAAAAAGGTGCTTACAGCTCAGGGGGTTCTGAGCCACTCTTGTGAAAGTTGTTTTTCAATATGAATTATTCTTACTATTAAGAAATTCATCTTGGTGTCAATTGGATGGCTGGTTATCCACCAAAAAATGTTAATACAGATGCTTATCTCATACAGCCAGAGGAAAACAGCACAGCTGCCACTCTTCCCGCCCAATCCATTCTAGTGCAAGATAAGTCCCAAGAAAAAGGATTTAAGGGCCTCTCATTCTTGATCCCATTAACTCTCCATCTCTATTTCCTTCATTCTTGGTGATCATCCAAGGCTACCCTAGCAAGCCCGTACTTTCTCACCAAATAAAGACACAGTCCTTCCCCGGGCCTGGGGCTGGCAGTCGGCGATGTTTTCTTAACAGTCTGTTTGACTCTCTGGAAAACGACTTAAGCTGGCTGCAGCATTTCATCGGAGCTGTTCAGTATAGTGACGGCTGGGCCTCAGCGCTTGGCGTATCCATAATTCATAACGCTGTCTAAATGGGAGAGAGGAGACACCGTAATCCCAGAATCCTTATTTAGGGAGCATCTTAGAATACGCTTAAAACAAATGCAGCTGAAGCCATTGTTACTGTAGGACTTTATCTTTCCAGGGGATGGAGGAAGCTAAATCAGTGACAACAGGAGCTAAATCCTTCTCCTGGAGCACAAAGGAGAACAATGCATGGCGACTCCTGACTAATTTATTTTACTCAGTGGAGTAAACCAAGATGACTAATATTGTTTTAATCTATGCATCCAGGGAGACCCGGGTATTGATATGTAAAAGCACTTAAACACACACGGCTGTTATGGCCCAGGGCTGTGTAGAGCTGTTTTGAATTAGAAAGAGCTGGAAATATCCACCTCCGAAGAGATCTGCCCACCAGCCTGGGACTACAAATAGTCCCGAGTGAGCTGGGCTTGTTGCTGGGGTTGGCCCAAGGCCCAGGCTCCTCTTTGGGGCCCGAGGACCCAGGAGAATGAAGCAGAAATGGAACCCGCGCACTTGTCTTGCTGCTTCTCCAGGCAGCACAGCTCTCTGGAAAGAAGCCTCTTTGCAGTCTGTAAATATTTCATCCTCCCCTCCTTCCCTTCCCCTCTCCTCTTGCTACAAAGCACAATACGTAAATAAAACCTCAAAACATAAAATTACTTAAGGCGATGCTTTTCTGGTCACTTTTTTTTTTTTAAAAAAAGAGAATTCTTTTTATTGTTAAAACTTTTTTTTCATTTTTTATTTGAAAACAGAGAAAGAGAGAGAGACAAAGAAAGAGAGGACCTCACCTTTGCTGGTTCGTCCCCAAATGCTTGCAACAGCTGGAGCTGGGCCAGACTGGAGCCAGCAGAGAGAGAGTCTGGGTCTCCTAGGTGAGTGGCAGGGAC